GAATAGAAATGCCGCATGGCCAGCGGAAAAGGGCGGACACCAGCAGTGACACAAAGGGCGGACACATCTTAAGAAAGAATTGAGAACCCCTAACAGTAAACTGTTTGGGGAAAATTCGGACATCAGAAATGTACACATCTCGGCATATCGGCATATCGGCATATCCCATGTAATCTGACAATTTATGTTGTTTTTTGAAGGTTTAAAACAAAAATGTGTGAAAATACCAAAAATTGCGTAAGTGCTTCACGTATCCAATCTTCATTACAAGCCCGAGCAATATGTGTGTGACGCTGATCAAAGCTTAAGGCACCACCAACATGATCGCAGGATGTACGGCGGTCCTCCCCACCAAAATGTGCATCAAGGCGGAGCCAACACGGCGACGAAATTCTTTCCGGCTCCAAACCTAAAGAATCCTTCCGGTCCTTCCGGTACATTTGCATTCCGAGATGCCAAAAAAGTCCGTGAGAAGGTACAAACGTGAAGCTGACTGGAATGCATACCTCCCAAAATCCGGTATTCGGTTTTAAACATCTCCAACCTACTAGCAATGGTCTCCAACCCAATAGCAATGGCCCTAGTAGTGTCTTTGCTCCTAGTAGCGATGCCAGGAGCCCCTAATAGCTTCTTGTTCCTAGTAGTAAGGCCAGGAGCCCCTAGTAGCTTCTTGTTACTAATAGCAATGGCCTCCAACCTTATAGCAAAGGAGGAATATATTTGTGTACTTATAGTTTTAGATTTGTTGTTGCTATCTTGCTCACTTTCCCAGGCCTCAGTCGCGCAACAAATGGATGGTTTGCCTGTGGGAGAACAAAAACTGCCAACATCAAGCTGTTCACATTGCATCAACATCGCCAGTGTGACGCTTCTCAACACTTTGCGCTCCGTGATGATGTACTCTGCGCGACGCCTCAGTTCAGTCAAACACTGCTTCCTAAGCACCGCAGAAACTCCCTTCGTTTGACCGATGCCAGACCTGGAATCTCCGATGCGACTTTTCTTGAGCACCTTCATGGCCAACAACCTTGGACAAAACATCTCCAACCTAATAGCAATGGCCTCCAACCTACTGGCGATGGAAGAATATGTTCAGACTTGATGGAATGATGGACCTTCAGACATAGTTCCAGACCTTTGCGCCGGGTCATCGCGCTTCCGCACGAGGTAGACACGCCCAAAGGTGCCCTTTCCAATGCATTGAAGGAACCTCTGAAGGTCAACTGATGCTATGCGTGAAAGCCGATGAAAAACATATTCCTTATGCGTGTCTCCCAAAACACGGTGTTTGCATAAATGTTGAAAACATGCGCACTCAAAGTCTGCTTCGCGGGTTCGCTGGGGCGAATGTGCCTCAGAAGTTGGGACAGCGAATACGAAACCATTTTATTGTTCCTAGTAGTTTCTTGTTACTACTAGTAAGGCACTTGTTACTAGAAGCGATGCACTTGTTACTAGTAGCTTCAGTTGTTCAATGTGGAAACTGCGAAAGACATTGAGTTGTTCAGAAACTGTGCGCCCAGCACTGCCTTTTTTGCAGGTCTCAGCAACCTCAGCGAAAGAGCAATGGCTCTTGCACCACCTCTGCTGTCTACATAGTTGTATATCTGTTTTTTCGTGCGTTTCCTCGTCTAAACTGTTCCATGTTTCCCCCTTTTCACTTGACCCGCTCGCTTTCTCACCTCCGTCTCCGATAGCCTGCATCCCAAGAGCGATGGCCGACATACCACAGAAACACCTACACCGTGGGCTCGAGCCTTGAGGCCCACAACCCGTCACCGCCCCAGCCCGCATTGTTCACCACAATTATTGCAGCAAAAGATTCACAAACTTGGTTTTCTTGTTACTACTAGTAAGGCCCTTGCTCCTAGTAGCGAGGCACTTGTTTCTACTAGCTTCACAAATTTGGTTTTCCTCAAACAAATCTCCACACATGTTAGGATTCAAACCAGCTCTCTTCCGCGTCGCATCGGCTCAGCAGGAGGGCCTAAGCGCATCACATGTCCAGCTGTCATATTCCTGAATTTGCATGCTCCTCTCTGAGCTCAAAAGCAGTCATCTGGAACACCTGCCCAAGTGGAAGTATTGACAAAGCGAAAGCAAAAAGCTGGGAGACAAAAGAGAGGCGCGGGACAGAGACAAAAATTAAAGGGCATGTGAAAAAAACGTGAAGTGGCAAAGTAGCACACGAGGCAAGCAGTGATTAAGGCGTTTATTGTTTGCAATAATTGTGAGTCAGGCTGAAGCCTTCTTCTAACAGTCGCCGAGGTCTGTCCTGAAACCACGAAAGAAACATAAAATGTCCAAGCGCTGCAAAAAAAACTATACAAGTCCTGCTTGCGGAGACTTGAGCACAAATTTCGTCCAATGCGCGCCCCCATGACCTAATTTTCACCACGAGCAACAAGCTGGCTTGAGTGCATCGCGCTCGTTAAGCGCCAAACACGCCAGCGCACTTGCCACCTGAGAAAGTGGGGGTCCTATGCCAAGTTTAAACCACTCAGGTGATCATTGCACCTAAATGCACACAAACCTCAAATGTTGTTAAACATTAGATTTTTCAGTCCAATCACTCCCCCGCGATCCGCCTGCAATTTGCTAGCTAGATGTGCACTCCAAACATGCATACGCCAGAACCAACAAGCTCCACAGCTCAACTTGACTGGGAGCCAGCACGGACGTCACCTCCAATGCAAGCTCGGGGGCCTTCATTCTGGCCTTGGCAAGCCAGGGGTCGTGCAGGAGCTACAAAGAATGAACATCAAAAGGTTCCAGAACAATTCGAAAGATCTCTCGAGCTTGCAAAGGGCAGCCTGCTTAGTACAATTCTTGACTTGCACTACACCGCTGCACCTGTAATGTGCACCTGCACGGCGCTTTCATTGACATTTTCGCAGTTCCAATCAGAGCGTTTACTCAAGCAAATATGATCAACTTCATCTGAAGTCGCGAGCAAGTTCCATCACATGCACCTCCCACGTCCTGAGTTTGGACTGGCGATCCTCTGACCACTGACTACAACTCCCACGCACAATGGTCCCACTGATTGCACGTACTGCTGAAGATGGTGGCTTTGCACTCGTCCGTGCAGGTCTCCAGAAGCCACGCCTTTTCACTCTTGGTATGGAGCCTGTTTCAACAGGGGTTTCACGGTCCTCTGAACCACATCATTCGGATGAGTGATGATCGACTGGGTTCGATTTCTTTCCTTTGCCTTAATCTTCTTTCCTCTTGCCATTTGCCACCTCCTCCAGCATCCTTGCCTCTTTGCCCTCTCCTTTGAAGCATAGCATTGCTCCACTTCTTCGTTGCGTTGTCACACAGGGTGATCAAACCTGTTGTCGTAGCGTCGTCGACCATCAATAGACCAAGCAACCTGCCCGAGCCCTAAACCGGACTCCCTCACGTGCCTGATGAGAAAAAACACCCAAGCTAAATAACCAGAAAGGTCGTCTGCCTTTCCTCTTCTGGCTGCAGATCTGAGTTGGCCTTTATGTCCTTGACGTCCTCTGCACACCTCCCATCAGCTGAAATCCCGCCATTGGGTCAACTCTTCCTCCCTGCTTCGGGTCGAAGCAAGGAGGGCTTGGGAGAACGTCTCCTTGAAAAATACTTCTCAAGCTGCCAGGCTACCAGCCTCAACCATCGCCTCAGCTCCTGCAGTAGGCGACCCAATAGGTGGTGAACCCAGTGGAGAGCCTTGTGTGCCATGATCAAACTCTATGCACGGAGTCGACAGCCCCTAGCTCGTGGTGGATGTCGTGGGCAAAGGATGCGAGAGAACCTGGCTCTCAACTGATTGCGAGATCCTGCAAGTCGGTCCAGCCTTTGGCAAACGGCACTGCTTTGCAAGACCCCTGGAGCCTTACGCAAAGTCCCCAGTGGGCTTCACGGCCCGCTACCATGCGGATCTTTTGAGCTTGCAAACGGCGGCCTGTTGGGTACAGTTCTTGGTTTGTGCGCTACACCTTTATACTGTGCACCTGTGCCTTCACGAGTGGGTGCTTTCATTGACAATTCGCATCTTCACATCTTTGTATTTCTGAGAAAGAGACCAACCACAGAAGTGATTCTGCTTGGAATTGCCGCCGCCGGCCGCGGCATTTGGACCAAAGACAGCGTCAAAAATGTGCAGCTTGGGTTTTGCAAATTGGACACAAGCTTTTGCAAGACATTCAACTGCAAAGTGAAGACGAGCTTTGCAGGAAGCTGCGCAAGCTGCCCGCAGCTGCACTAGCCTTCTTCTCCCATCTTGCATGGCCCACGGCGTAGCGTCAGAGGTATGCAGTTTGGCGAATTCGAGGTGCAAAGCGACTGAAGTACACCAGGAAGTAAAGCTGACACCGGGATGAAACTCAAGTGGCTCCACAAATATGTGAATACACATGACCACGTCTTAACTTCTGGTGCCCCTACCAGAACTCTACAAAAATGTGCTTGGACAGAACCTACTTTGATAGCAGCTGTACCCTGAAACTGCCGGAACCTCTCCGTGCCAATATTTGCCGGATTTGCTCGGGAGCAAAAGAGTGAGACCTCTTCCAGCCTACTGTGGTGGCACTGAAGCTCGATAAACAATCTGGACCTGCGCAGGTGAGGAAACATCTGCCACTGGCAACTTGTTTCTAGTTGGGGGTAATGGAAATGGCATCTTGGTGGGCCTGCGGCGGCTGGACATTGGCAACATGAACATGCTGAGGAACATATGGCATAGTCGTCGCCGACGATCCATTGTATGGTTGAAGAACCTGGAAACTCGGAACGCCTCCAACCTAGTAGCGATGACCTCCAACCGACAAACACTTGCGTTCCAAGTGGAAAAGAATCGCAGGCAATCTCAACACATGCAAGGCTCACAAATGGATGCGCCGAATCTGTCCTTGGAACACAACAGGAACATCGTCTGAATGGCAAGGGTGTGTTGATGGCAAGGGTGTGTTCGGTTGGCGATGGCCTCCAACCTACTAGCGATGGCCTCCAATTTCGAGGGCACAAACCGATGTGAGCACATACTACCAGGAGCTACTAGTAGCTTCTTGTTACTAGGAGCGATGCCAGGAGCAACTAGTAGCTAGTGATGCCCTTGTTACTAGGTGGATTTCTTCGGGTGGCACACCTGGGCCGAACTGCACTGGCTATCTTCCACGGACGCTGTTCTCGGACGTGTGTGAACCAGACATGTGCCACAAGCCCAGTGGCGTTTGATGTTTCCATCAAGTCATGCTTTAGTGCTGCAAGCATGACATCTCTTTGACTGGCTACTCCTATACTAGCTTGTTGCAACAGGCTGGAGCAGGCATGCCCAACAATGCCGCGGGAGCGTGGCAACTGGGACGCAAGCATGATGTATTTGGTCACAAAATGGCAGACCACCGAGCACAAGTATATGTTTCTCAAAGCCAAGTATCTGGTGAATGCCTCCCATACAAGGCTGGCCGTGCTGAGCCTTTCCCAACGATCACAACAAAGAAAAGCACTGCGTGAATTGATTCTGGGCAGCTGACAGACACTGTTTGAGGGCGTGGGTAGCAAAGATCAAGGTCACCAAGCACCCTGACCTGTTGCAGAAAGGACTTTCTGCCCCCTACCTAGTAGCGATCCAACCTATCTCTGGTAAGCTGGATCTTTGCCAATCTGGTGAACTAGATGTCTGAACAACTAGACTCTAGACAATTGGCCCCTGCTAGACTACCCTTTCTAACCAAGATTGCAAAACTAGAATCCTGGTAAACTAAGCCCCTGGCAAACTAAATGGTGAACTAGGCCCCTGGTAAACTAGACCTCTGGCAAACTAGGTCGTAAGCTGGATGTCCGCAAAGTAATAAGCTAAATAGTAAGCTAGATCTATGGTAAACTAGATATCTGGTGAAGAAGGGCCATGCTCAAGTAGATCTAGTAGGCTTTTACCAAAATAGTTGTGTGGTAAACGAGATGCCTGTGGAAGTAAAGGTTCTCTGCCAAACTATATTAGAGCTAGGTTTTTAAGCCCGATGGCTTCCAACCTAGCAGTGATGGCCTCCAACCTAGTAAGTAGCGATGGCCTCCAACCTAGTAGCGATGGCCTCCAACCTAGAAAAGGTTCTCTGCAAACTAGACTTGTGGTGAGCTGGCAAAAGGTAAACTAGCTCGTTGGTAAACCAAATGGTTGACTAAGCCCTAGGCCCCTGGTAAGGCTAGCTAGGCTCTTTGAGCCCATAAAGCCAAGACGTTCACATCTTCATAAACCTGTAGCCTCAACAAGCAGCGCCTGGGCGTCAGTGGACAAGCTCCGAAATGTGGTGGAAACCCTTTGGTTGTCGTCCACTGGTTGGTCAGCACATCTTTTCATGTCCTCAAAGGCGTGCAAATCTCAAGACCAGATTTTGCATATCTCAACCCCCAAAAAGAAAACGGAATGAGTAGTAACAAGTGCATCGCTACTAGTAGCAAGTGCATTACTACTAGTAACAAGAAGCTACTATTAGTAGCGATGCACTTTGCTCTATAAGCTGCATTTGTCCTGGATCAAGGCGAGCACGAAGATCAGAAAAGTGTGGGCTCCGTGAACACGGTCCAGCTCCAACATGACCTTCAACCCACCAAGCACCATCTTCAAGCGGAGAAACTCGAGAAAGCACTTCAACACAGAAGCAGCTGATGGATTCATTGAAACACTTTGACGGAGCAGCAAAGAGCTGGTCAGTGTACAAACAGACCCATCATACAAGGAATGTTCCACGACTAAGACTAAAAGTATACGTACAACACAATTGGACGCATTACTCCCCCCACTGCGTGGAAGGAGGGACGACACCAATTCAGATATCTCACAACAAGCCTCCTGTATCTATTTTCAGGAGTCTGGTTTCCTCCAGGCTCTGAGCAAGAAAGCAAAGAAAGGTTTTACAATTCCATCCTGTTAATTTCCCTATGGAGCAGGTGTAGCAAGGGGTGCATTCTGGGTAGAGTAGGATCTGCTACCACCCCACAAAGTAGCATGACCGGGTCATCACGCTCGGGAACCCGAATGAGCCTGATGAAAATGAAGGGTCGGTCGCCTTGTTTTAGGACGATCCAACAGTTTCAAGCGCGCCCTGAACTGAAGAACCAAAGCAGCCTTCTCTTGCAAGAAAAACCTGATCACATCTTAGGTTCGAGGCTGATGGTGCGAACGAAGATGACGAGAGTTTTGTCAAGTTCAAGGCTTTGACACCACCAAATTTTACGAGTCCGAGCTTTGCAGAATCGGTGAGCCAAACCAAACCTCTGAAAAAACGACGCAACAACAAAAACGGAGTAGACCAAGCAGCAATGGGCAAAAGTCACTCAAGATGACCCAACAATAGCCCCAAATGGGCCAACATTGCCTCGAAAGGCAGCGGTCCAGAACTAGTCATGGTGAAAAAGGAAGGAAGGACTGTTTTTCCTTGAAGCATTGGTGGTGCGAGATATGCTGCCTAGCTTACTATGCTTTATTTGCATTAGCTGGTTCTTGTGTCCATGGACGACAACAACAACGACGATGACCACCACTACTACTACCGCTGCTACTAGAGCAAGAACAAGAACAAGAGCAGCAGCAACAACAAGGTCTACCAATCAAAGTCCCTCTTTCCTTTTCTCTTCTTAGATCTCACTCCTACCTTCGCGTTCTGTCATTTCACTTCTTTTGCGCGCAGATTTTTCTAGGCCTCAGCGTGCACATGCACACGCACAACAAAACTAGGTTGCTAGGTGTGGCAGGGTTTTGTTACGATTGATGAGGTTTGGCTCATCAGCTGTCCCTGGTCATTTGGCTTCCTCTTCATTTCACATACGCGCCTTTTGTAAAATTACACTTGCACTTGCCCTCTTTTTTGCTCTCATATACATATACACAGTAATATACACAATATTACATATATATATATATATATGTGCACATATACGTATATGTATGCGTGTGTAATCGTGGTGCCTTTGGGCTCTTTTCTTTACATGTTTGTAACCCCATGGATGCAGCTGCGCTGCACCATAGCTGATATGATCCTGCGACGCTAAGATCACGTACCTGCTGAAATTCAATTGTTTGATGATTCTGTATAGAGCTCAACGCTCTCTCCTACGTTGTCGTGCAGTATAGGGCTGACGCATGTTGTCTTCAAGAGACCTTTCGGATTTGCTGGGTGCTCTTTGAACTTGGTTGGACCCCTTTGCCTAGGCTTTCCTTTTACCCAGGTTTCCGGGGCTAGGCGAAATCACGTCGTACAAACTTGTGTCTTGAGGGTGTGCAAACTGGTGCAGCTCGGAAAAAAATCTTTCCTGCCCCAGCGACAAGCTTGGTGATGAACATCCACGCTAAAGTTTCAATGTACGTCAATCAACTTCCGAGTCATACTAGGTCAGGATGAGTTAGGATTTGTCGTTACCAGACAGTTAGGCTTTACCAGGGGTTTAGTCCTAAGTCATGTGTCCTTGTCAAGCAGCCACCCAAAAACGCATGATGCCAGAGCAGATGAGAAAGGAATTATGATAGCAAGATTGCATACAACTCTCACCTCATGGTTCAGAAACTGCCCAAGAAATCCAGTGAGAAAGAGCTCGCAAGACGTATATAACTTTATGAAGTTTAACAACGTACATGTTTGACATCATCAACTATATGTGAGTCTGTTAGGAAAGCAAACCACAAAAAAATACTAAAACAAGACTCTCATGTGGCCAGAAAGTGCCCGTGTCTCTGTAACTCCTATCTCATTTGCACACCGACAAATGCCGGCAAAATTGGGGTCGGCGATGCTTGTTTGAAGCTATTGCCATGTTTGCCAAGACAGCATCGCACACTGACGAGATGGGACTTGCGCACACCCACATGGTGCACAACAGCTGTGCACAAATGAGGTAGGCCTTGTGAATTTGCTATATGTTCAGGGAGCCCTAAGTCACCCGTACTACTAGGAGCAAGAAGCTACGTTCGGGGCTCCTGGCATCGCTACTAGGAGCGATCGGACGCCATTAGGGTGGATGCCTTGGACCCCAACTCATCGGAGTACAGGGCCTTTTGGCAGAGCCC